AATAATAATAATATAATAATAATAATTAAAAAATACGATAACGTAAAGCATAAAAAACTGAAACAATATAAAGAGACATTCTAATATTTTCTTTTTTTTGCGAACAAAAACAAAATTCTCAAACTCCGATTACGTATACAAAATACTAAAAATAACTAATATATTTATATATATTATTATTATTTACAGGTTCAACGTAACCATACTACATACCGAAGAAACAACAAACAAATAATCAAGTAATATTGAACATATACATAGGAAAGTGAGAATGCTAATACATCTATCCTAAAAAACCACATCTACCATTAAATAATATATTCTTATATACAAGGAACAAAAGTTTTCACAGATAAAATTATATGACAGTACACATCGACCTTCAATTCGATTTTTTCAAATTTAAAAAAATTCATTATAAATATAAGCTATACAAACCCAAGTGGCAGTGTACCGCCATCTGGTGGATATTAGCACTTACTAAACGTTCTTATTTACAAACTAACTTTCAGTTTAAACGAACTAATTCATTGCAAATTCAATTATCAAACACTATTACAATTAAATAAACCTTTTTTTTAATTTTGAATATTGCATTGTTTAGTATAAAGGTAGAAAATGATGGTTTGGTCATATAATTTTACCCGCAATTCCTCCTTAGTCTGCGATTTGGCGCCTTAAATTAAACATCACCATTAAGTAACAAAAATCGTCATGTATAACGTACAGACTGACCTGTTTCATTTTTATTAATTTATAACCGACTACCTATTGAAAACGTCCTTTCGACTAGCCTGGTCCTACTCTCATCTCAGCGCACTCCTAATCCTAAGCTTGACTCAATTCACAAAGTCCATCATTAAAGCGCTCTTTTACTTGTATGTATGTATAATTAGTTATTATTTAAAAAAGTATACGTCGTTTCCGTGAAATAGTACTAGGAAATATTTGCACTAATAAAATCAGCAAGTGAATAACGATTTTTGATTTCATATTTACTAGAAGAAATTATCCTACACAAGTTAAAATTTGACAAAATAAATCTTTCTTGCGCATACTATACCGTGCGTAATAAGGCATGAACCTTTTTTTTATTATTAATAATTGTAAGACAGACAGATAAGAAAGAAAACTTTCTTCATCTTTAAAAAGTGCAGGATTATGCCTTAATGAAGATGACATAAGTAACAAAATATAATTTTCTAAGCGACTTTTCACCATGTGGACAAAGACCTTTCAACAACTACCTAGAAAGACAAACCTAACAGCTTATCATAACCATACCGTACAAAATTCGTCCTACTTATATACATTCCTTTAACATAATGAAACAGGTCGAGACAACATTAGGGTCAGTTTTAAAGCACTGCCACCTTACTTTAAGAACTATGTAATTAACGAGATTCATAGCTAGAGACTTAGGAATGAAGACAGTCGCCCCCCTCCTCCCCCATCTTGACTATACATCAGTCCAAAATGCAACACCCTCGAATGTCCGACCGATACAGCTTATTGCTGCACGATCATTCGGGCAAGAGGGTCACCACTGCATGTGACATTAACTAATCACGACGCTTGTTTAACAACGATCACTCCCGGTCTGGATTGCTGTTGAACTTTGACCGACTGCTGTGTCACGTGGAAATCGACGTACTGGTTCATATCCAGCCTAAGAATATGATCCGACGACCTCGTGTTGGTTGTAAGGGCAAGGGGTGCTTCTTGCGTACGTTGCTGAGGTTCTTCCGCAAACATGTGATCGCCTTCCAAGTGGCGAATCGCTTCAACGATGGTTTCGAGGTTTTGACGAGAGGTGTTAGGACCATAGAGCGTCCTCCCCGAACTACTCTCGTCTTGGGGGGTTGTGGGGACACGTTCGACCTCAACTTTTGGTTCTGCCTTGATGGCAGCTTCCAAAACTGACGGCAGTCGTTTCTCTTGTATAGGTTCGGGACTAGGACTTCGGGAAGGTACAGGAGAACACACCACAGTCTGCGTATGACCAACAGGAGGTAAACTGTCGGCGGCTACTACTTGTAGACCAAGGTCATCTGTTTCTTCAGTGGTTGTTATTTGGTACATTTGTTGTTGGTATAGTTCGCCTTGAAGTTGTCGTATTTGTTCCTCGAGAACAACCCGAATTCCACGTTCCCTGTCCAGCTGACGTCGAAGTTCTGACGCCGATTCCGATGGTTCGACTACCGTTACCGACATTATATTCATCGATTCCGATGCCATAGTATCTACGCAGTCTTCTGTCGTTTCGGTAATGGTAGGAAGGATAACATCCGTTTTACGTTTTTTCGGAGGCAATTCCCCGACCTCGTGCTGCTGTTGGTTGACCAACCTTTTCAATTGGCAATTTTGGGATAATAGTCGCGTCTTTTCTTGTTCCAATGAATAGATGTATTCTGCAGTCTGTTGAAGAATAGCAGCCTGAAACAAGATGATAAAAGAGTAATTAGTAATCGTCGAACCAAGTGAATCTATTTTATGCGTCATTTTTATAATAATAGGTAAATGCATAAATGTTTCTCTTTAAACTCAGCGATCAAATCGCTGGCCTCGCAGTTACCAACCGAAGTCTCACGATTCTTCCTTCTTTTCAATAAACACGCCATGTTCTTGACCTTGATGCAACATTCCGAAGATCATTTTTGCGCAACCGGTCCCGCACTCAGTCCCTGAGTAGGATGAATCGTGCCGAAGACACTGCAAACTATGCATTCCTATGTTTACAGTACGTTTAATAAGAGTCACCATATCATATCAGAAAGCTCACCATCCTTCATAGCATATCTGCACATTACAGCCCGTATACTTATAATAATAGCTTTCCAAATTATCCACAAATAGTAGGAATAATTTAAAATTCACCTTAGCATGGCTAAAAGTGTATCATTAATTTATTATTTAAATTAATATCATCACCATACGTAACGCAAATTCATCAATTTTTGACCCCAACTCCCCTCATATAACAGAAACGCTCAGCCTGACTCCCTCCCCCTTTCTTTTCTATTAGGCAACGCAAGCATTAAACGCACGTAGCGGGACCGTAATACCATACCTGCCCCCTCCCATTCACGCGGCGTAGTTTAGGNAATTTAAAATTCACCTTAGCATGGCTAAAAGTGTATCATTAATTTATTATTTAAATTAATATCATCACCATACGTAACGCAAATTCATCAATTTTAGACCCCAACTCCCCTCATATAACAGAAACGCTCAGCCTTACCCCCTCCCCCTTTCTTTTCCATTAGGTAACGCAAGCATTAAACGCACGTAGCGGGACCGTAATACCATACCTGCCCCCTCCCATTCACGCGGCGTAGTTTAGGGACAGTCCCTAAAAAGATTCTCCATGAATCTCACTAAAAATGAGCGTTATTAGGTTGTTACTTTCAATCGAAATGTCATTTCATGCAATTTAAGTACCTACCTATCCAAATTTAATTAACGAAGTATAACTAATGTCAAGTTTAATTAATTATCGAGAAAATAAAATTTTTTAAGAAAAGGTTACCCCCAGGCCGGTTATTAGCCCTCTGACGCAGTCAGTGTGGAATGTGGATGACGTCAACCAAAATTTATCAGCAAATGGGTGTAGAAGAATCTATTTTTGTAATCGGTACCACATAACGTTAGATGCAAAAATATATATATATATATATATATAAAGGAGACGTAGGTATCTATAAATAGTTATCAAATATCTGAAAATTAGCGTTGGTAACAATTTTTACACATGAGTGAATAATAACGTTTTATTATCATTCTTAATAAGTACCTAGGCATCTAATCAATTTATCTAAGGAGAAATGTTGTACAATTTACATCATTTTATGTTAAGTGCATATGTACATTCCACGCCTTTTATAAATAAATAAATACCTACGTACGCTAATTGTAACTCTAATTAGGCAGATATCAAAAGCAGCGATTTCATTAAGGCTGTATTTTTACAAAAACCATCATTATTGAAATTATGTAAGTATGTATTTTTAAATGTTTGCAAAGATTGATATCAACGAAAATAATAGCATACGTTCGTGGAAAAACGATGATAGAACATTTGAGTAAACATTCCAACAAAACTTATTTAGAAGTTTATTAAACTCGAATATAAAATTTTAGATTACCTTGAAGAGCCTCAACCTCCTCGCAGTCCATCCACAAAATCAGCTGTACAATCAGTCGATTCTAATAATAAAAGTAGTTTGTATATGGTTCTCACACAAATTACAACAGTCGGTAATTCGCTTCTCAAAATCTAAATCGATTATTTAGAAATAACAGAATGAAAAATGTAGTCATATTTTGCGCTATTAAAATACATTGATTCGTAAATTAAGTCGACCACCACGTTCATAGGATAATTGTAGATGTTTTTTTAGAAGACACTAGGTATATACACATATGTATGTGGTTACAAATTCGTATTGTAGATTGTAGACACATATGATGTTAGTACACAAGGCGTGTAAATTGGTTCAATCAATTTAATTAAAATCATATTTTATCTCTCACGACTGGCCTTGAACTTAACCGACAAACAACTAGCTGCTTCCTATTTATAGAACTTTGTTCTCTGGTGAGTGAAACATACTTAGATACTGCTTTTAATTTACACATTATAATATGTAACAGCAGAATTATATAAATAACACTGGTCGTAATTACCGGCGCCACTCGCGCCGTCCCAGTAGTATTTCACTTTTTCGAGTTTGATATTGCATTTTGGACTCCTTTTGTAGTTAAAATAAAAATATTTAACAAAAAAAGTCGAAAAAGTACGCTCGCTACGATAGGGAATATTAATATTATATGTATACCTATGTATAAAGCGCAATAAGGCGTTTTCTTTCAGGGAACATACGGTATTATCATATATTACGCACCGAGAAAAGAAAACACTGCGTTTCCACCCCTTCAACAAACCACTACAATCGTATAATAATCATAATAATAATTAAATAAAGTAGGAGACACCTAACATTTGAAGTGGGCGAAACACGTGTCCGCTCAATAAAATTATGTTAGTGGTAATTGGGGTGAGTTTCCTACTTTATTTAATTATTAATTTACCACAGTCTTCTTGTTTCTATTTTGAATCGTAATAATGGTCCTATAACGGCCTAAGGAGAGGAGGCTTTAGTTGATACGTTAACACTGCCCAGTCTTACAAAGGATTGGGTGTTTTTTTAATGATTTCCCCCTTCTTCCCTAAAAACAAAAAAAAGCTACATTCCTTCTCTCTATCTGAAGGCGAAGCGGCAAACATCCGACGCGAGGTGTCATACTTTCTTCCAGAGGACTGCTTACAATTCTTTATCATGCATCCATCCCAAAAGTACCATTTTCCTAATTTACCTCTCAGGCAAGAAATCGCATTTACTGTTTCTTAATTTCTACATCCTCCCCCGTGGAAACCACACGGAGGACGATGAAATCCTTTCCAAATAAGGAGTAATACGATTTCTCGCCAGGTAGGGGATGTTGCGCTTTCAGTAAGTCTCGCCTCTGAAATTTGTAATAATCGAGATATTTACCAAAATTGTGAAATGTTGTAACTGTACTACGCCCTTTAGTCAACAACTCTATCGATTTTACAATCTAAAGCTAAATTGATTCAAGCTCGATCAGAATTGGTTGTAGTAAATGAAACATTTTATCGTAGCAGAGATAGTAGTACTACTGGAGAACTATGTAAGTGGAATGCATGTTAAATGACTTTAATTCATCCATCAGTCAGTCACTTGTAACAGGAAGACACGAAGTTAATACATAAATCGTAGTAATCGTGGTGCGCTGAAATAGACCGAGAAAGAACGTCGCTCGTCGTCGTTGTAGACCACAAAACGAATATTCAATTGAACTTGCATGAAAGAGAAGACGAGTACGCGATGGAATGCATGACACGACGACCGAAGAACCGACGACGTTGACGACTAATAACGCCGTAACGCCATTCCAACTATTCGTCGTTCGTGTATCAAATGACCGCAAAAATTCGAAAACAACGTGAAAACGTGGGAACGCAAACGGCGTGCGATCTACAACCATTTTAATGTAGAAAGCGTTTATTTTCTTTGCCATGCATTTACATGGACAGAAATATTTCGAATGCACTAACGACATATTATTCAAAATTTTCCATGGAGTATCTATATATAACGTGACTATACGTCCCATTTTGAAAAGGACCATTCCTTTTTTCGATAATCTGTCCCGTTGTCCCCAAAAAAAGTTCCGGAACGCACAATTGTCCCGTTTTCCGAAACCGCGCGAAAATTTCGGAACTCGCTGGACGCGACCAAAAGTAATCCCAAAAAATTAGTTGCAGTTACAAATTTCCTTTTTATTATACAGAGCCCGAGTTCCAAACACTTTTAACAACTTAAGACTCTCCCATTCTTTCCTATCCTAAGCTAATCTCCGCATTTTCCTACAACTAGAACATCCCACATCCTTAACTATTTGTGAACAGTAATCTAATCTATGCCTACCTCTACCCCTCATAACTCCTGTTTCTGCCTCTAATACGCCTCTGACTAGCCCTTCATGTCTGAGACTTCTATAGTGACTTCTGAGTTCCCCTATTCTTTCTAATAATTCTAAATTTCTAACCTTATCTATCCACAATATCCTCATCATTCGCCTGTAACACCACACTTCGAACGCTTCTGCTGCACCCACCGTTCATGTTTCGCACTCGTACAGCGACGCGCTCCAAACATACACTTTTAAGTTGATTATTATCGCAGGAGGGGAAGCATTCGTGTGTCAACCACCGAAAACATAAAACGTTCAAAAGTTGTACAGATATCGGTTGTAGTTGATTGTAAGCAAGATTTTGTATTTATTGGTTGTATGTTTTATTAACTTAATTCATGATAGGTATCGTTCATAATTTTTATTTTTAGACTCATATCTTCCTCGATTATTTATGATCTCAAATGCCTGTTTCTGCTGCTGTAGTACAATTTTTTTAGACAAGTGGCCGTATGAATTAAATGTTTGCGTCAAAACGTTCATTCACAGCCAGTCGGTAGGCAGTTTGTATTAAAAGTAGGGCGCCTGAGTCATTTGAACTTACGTAATTACTACACTGGTATTTTTTTACGGACCAATGAACTAAAGATTACTTTTTTTCTATTTACTTTTGAACTGTTCTAAACATAAGTTGCAGAATGTTTTTTACGTTTAAATAAGGTGTAATTATTTTATTTTATTACATCTTATTTAATAAATATTATTAACCAGAAAAGGCCGAAATTCGCCCAATTAGCAACTATCAAAAGACTAAGCCAATAAAAGCAATAAACTTATTGAACGTGCGACAATGAGCACGGAAAAAAGCTTGAATGAAAGATATAATCATGTTGACACCATTCAAAAATTGAATTTAATTTCACTGTCGTTAGCATATA